ACATACACACATACACACATACACACATACACACATACACACACATACACACACATACGCACACATACACACACATACACACACGCATACACACATACACACACTTAGCGCGTTATATAAAGTTGATGCATAATTATTGCGGATTTTTTCGCGGCTTCTTTTGTTTCGATAAAATTAAACTTTTTAACATGTATTTACTTAGATATTATGTATTTATGTAGAAATAATCTTCTCGCTTTCCTTAACAGAAGTATGTCTAGAAAGTCATCTTCATATACGCCAAATTATGCTCTATTACTTCGAGAAATGTTGGAAGCGGCACACTCATAACGTGATCTCAATGAGCTTCTCGGTGATGGAGCAGTCAGCCAAAGCCGAATAAAGAATGGAATTTGCTTCAAAGGTCGCACTGTTTACCAACAGAAACTCCTATGGATTATTACGTTGATCGCCAGTTGAAAAATTGGTTAACGGACAGAACTTTCGACAAAGTGGATGGCCTAATGACCGACGTCAAGGCGTGATCGCCTACAAGTATTGAAACTCCTTCGCCTGTGGAATCCTACCGTCTAGCAAACGGGAAGCAGTGCTTGACGCAGATAGTGGATATGTTCCGGAGCAATCATTTGAACATGTCTTTGCTAGATATTTCTATCAAATCTTGAAGTGAAACTTGCTGAAAAAAAATCCGCAATAATTATGCATCAACCTAATATATAGTAGGATTTATGCGGGGAATACTTCCTCATTGGGGTAGAACATACATTCAATCCGGCAGTCATTTTTCTGGTGTTTCTGCATGTTGCGTAACGTGATCACTCCCAGGGAATTCTGTTCAGAAAAGTGGTCGTAATTGAGACGGGACGACCGTCTTAAAGTTGGTCGTTAACCTGACCATGCATCGCCATACACGAGACTGCCATGCAGGAAATGTCAAACGACGAGTAATCCTGGAAAAGAAGTCACCAACTGCGCCCAATGATGCATAGTTTGCTGGATGATTGCGAGGCTCCACCATTTTTGAAAAACTGACGAGTCGAGGGCACAGGAGCAGATACAGTAGCGCTCAAAAGTGTTCGGCCACGCCTTTCGGCCGTGACTTTTTTCTCAGTGGATCAAATCGCATGAAATTTTGATATGTTCAACTGAAGCATATTTCACGCTAAGCAAACACTATTTGACTGCAAAGCAGCAATGTCCACATATTAAGGGGAAGGGTTTGTAGACTTGCTGGAGGCAAGTTTGTGACGCCTGCACTTGTTCGCACCTTGCGTGCGTTCTTCTCATCTATTGTATCTGCATTACCGCTCGTACACTTTAGAAAGGCAAAAAGGAAATAAATTCCAGAAGGGCTATCATTCGTATTTTCAGTTGACTTTTTGTTCAAGCTCTTTGGGATATCTGGAACATGAACAGATTGGAGGTTGATAGCGGTAAATATTCACACTACACCTATGCTACACATATTGAAATTTCGCATGATTACATCTAGTAGGAGAGGAGTTACGATTGAAAATACGACCGAAGAAGCACTTGGCCGATTACTTTTGAGCGCTACTGTGTGTGAATTGAGGTATACTATAAACATGAGAGGAGCTGCAGATCTACCAAAACCCTCCAGGCTAGGAATTTGCAGACTTTCGTGAGACTGTTACCATATTTATGGCGAACCTTGTATATTTACATAAATATCGATCAAGAAAATGTTGAACACCCTGATGCAAAATTAAGCCGAGCAGTACAAAACGTTACCGATAGATTTCTGACCAGACAAGCGGGCATCTGATGGTAGTGACTCCTCTTTGGTAGGCAGATTTGTATCCCGAGTGACTCCTTCTCTTTGGTACCGTACTCAATAACTCACCATCAGATGTAATCTACCAGGCCGCGCTTTGCGCGTGAAGTACCTCTCCAACCAGCAGTCCGAGGGACGGGCAAGGAGGACTCAAGCAGGAGCGCTGCCATCACTCCAGCAAGGAGGCCTCGCAACTCTACTCAATCGCAGTTCCGAAGGCGAGGCGGCTTACCGGCCAAGATAGATTTCTGCATGACTGAGGAGTACCGGAGCTTTGCATTACAGCGCATGACAAAATGCTAAAATTGAAGGCGAAAATCTAGAACCATCATCCTTACGATATATAAACCGTAAATGTTCGTCTGTTTGTCGGTTTGTCTTCCTGTATGTCTGTCTGTTTGTCGCAGCAATCTTATAGGGCGCCCTCTGGAATTCGAATAGGAGCAGCTCAGCCAGATTGGAACAAGTTGGGAATGAGGCTAAGAACACGCTGAGCTCAGCCTGGGGGCGGGGCATGCGCGAGACATGAAATCTACCGGAGATTTATAACTCCTGTACTCTTGGCATTGGGCCAAATTCGGAAGGGATAGAGGCGATAAAATGGGGACACCAAAGCCACGTGACAGGTTTGAACTCTCTCCGCTAGGGCGGGGCTTCCGCGAAAATTTGGACTAGAGGCGTTCGAATTTGGTAGGGATTCGAGATGCAGTATAGGAAAATTCACGACAGGTGGCATATGCAGGCTGCGCTCATTGGGAGGAGGATCGCGCGAAAATTATAAAGTTGAACCTGGGACGATCATACATATATAGTAGAGATGCAGGTGGCCGTTTGGAACACTAATATTAGGTGGAATATGTAGACTCCGCCTATGGGGGGCGGGGTTGCTAAATCACATTAAATCTCGATGCTCATGAAAGTACTGTTAATTAGCAACAGTTACCCTGCCGGCAGCCTGGGCAACTATGAAGTATTAGGATACCCCATCGATTCTTCTTTGCTTTCGAATGTGCTAATGTCGAAGGTAGAGCTGCGAAAATACATAAAATTTGGGCGTTGATGAAAATCCCACTATATATAACTCTGTGTGTTTGTGTGTGTATGTGCCCGAACGGAAATTCACAACTACTAGAATGCCAAATTCTGTAGGAGTTTTGCAGGCAGGATCAGGACACTTGTGTAGGTAACAGAACCGAGTCCCGCCACAGGGGGGTGGTTTGCACATGTCAATTCGGCCCTTAGCGTTCAAACTTGGTAGAAGTATAGGCGGTAGGACAGGAACACTTATGGTAAGTGGCAGAACCGGGCTCCTCCGCCCACAGAGGGCGGCGTTTGCACAAAATCTGTCAGTTTGGTCCTAGGGTGTTCAAACTTGGCACCTACGATGGCTAGCAGGTTCGGCCTCCGTCCACGACCTAAGGGGTTCGTGCGAAATGAATGTTTGAGCAGAAATTCATAACTCCCGTTCCGTAGAGTTGGGGAGTGAAATCAGTAGGGGTAAGGAAGTGGAATTGGCACACAACGATAGAAGAGCCTTCAGAGAGCAAGTTCCACACAATTGAATCCTAACGCTTTTGTTTCTTATGACCTAACTTATGTTAACTTCTGATATGTTTCATTCCACAATAACAGTCAGTGCAGTGAGAGGGACCGATCAAGGGTACGTAGTTACAAGGAGACGAAAATTGCTTCATTTCTGCTGTTAGATTACGACCGCTACCTAGTAACGTTTGCGATTCAATGAAGGATCACGGTTTCTCTTTGCTACGACATCTTTCCTGGCTAAACTCATCTGATCTCGAGTATTCCTGGATTCTCAAGAATTGATATATTCGTAAAGAAAGAAAGCTTTATTGACAAAGGCATCTGATATTGGTGTTATCATGACTCGACAACATTTGTGGGCACCATTCAAGGCTTTGGTTGTCTACCAATAAAATCTTCAATTAATCATTGATTTAGGGATAAGCAGCAACATATTGAGACATGCAATAAAGACATAAGCATCGGCACATTCTGAATACCGCTGCCCTGTTGATCCCCCGTCGACTCTCGCGTTTCGAAAAGTATCATCCGTACCAGATAAGGAGGGTACGCTTTGCCTATTATTACAACTCTGTCACAAGAAGGAGGGAAGCCTCTCGTCAGCCGGGAAGCCCGATTGATTATAATAGCATAAGCTTATTGTATCTAAAGCAGAACATGCCCACAGAGCACCTAATGCACCTTCCCACCGCGTTCAAGTGGTAGGCCATCGAAAGGGAGACCGATTCTCTATCGTGAAATTCTTCAGTTATCAACATCACAGAAATCATCAGGCGGCCACGCCCGCTATCGCATGCGCTAGAGGCTCTAGATATGAGGGACGGATCCACATGAGCTGATTTTCATTATAGACCTTCATCGGATTTATGAGTTTCCGCTCAAACCCCGCCTCCTGTAGGTCTGGTGCTGCAACAAATCATAGTGTTTCTATCCTGTCACCTGTGCTCTTACAAAACTTGAACGCTCTAGGTCCACGGGGACAGGAGTTATGATTTTCTAAAATATTTTCATAAAGCATTGCATTTTTGGAAACGCCCCGCTCATCGGGGGTGGGTCTTCCCAGTTCGATCTATCATACCAATGCACACCTCTATCCACCTTTAAACCCCAGTTTTGAAGCCGTCTTGTGACTGTATTTGAGATCATGGTCCTACTACAGCTCATTTCGATGCACGCCACGCCCATTTTGGGCGGGGCTCTGCCAAGCTGACGGGTGCTTTACACTTCTCGGGACATGGCTCACCTATCCCACGCTTGACCCGGTCTCCCAGGCAGATCTAAAGGAGCTAAGGTGTTTCGTGACAGACATACAGACAGACGACAGACAAACAGAACGACCGGCAGGACAACAGACGAAGCGTTTTATATAATAGTAAGTAGGATACATGAGTTGAAATTGGAAGTGAAGGCCGTAGCCGGCAATTAGACTACCTCCGTTTTACAAACGATGTTGGACTGGTGGCGTGGTCTACTATCTTTTCTATTTTGCTGCCATGCTTTGAACGCTTTGCATAATGTATTCTTTAGAATATTTGATTGGGTTAAAAAACCTTGCCATTACCTTTCTTTTTTCATTCCTCAAGCATGGAAGGTAATTGAGCACTGCCTAGAAAAGAAAGCCAATCTACTTCTCATATACAAAGTAGGAGAAGTTATCTACAGCTCTTCTTGCTTCAGCTGTTCTGTGCAGCTGAAAGATTCAAAATAGCAGATTACGCAAAAAGTGGAACACGGGACTAGTCAAAAGAATGATAATGAAATGTTCCGAACAACGAGCGTTTTTATGTTTGACAATTGCTGTTTGTGAAGAGCCAAAGTCAACAACAGATCTTTTGTTTTTGTTCATGACTCGTCATGAATTCTTTGTCTTCTATCCACTATTTACGAACAAACCCTGAATTATTCATGTCCACCTTACTAATTTTTGACTTTTCTGAATTGCTTAATGTTTTCATGGGAAGGCGCAATTTTTTTCTTTGCATGTAAGAGGCGTCGAGAGGCTCGATTATTCCCAATTTTCAGAAAAAGTCAACTTCCCCAAGCTGGAACCGATGAAAGTGATCATCTTAGAGCATCGAAATGCTCTGCGATACTATGATTACCGACCATTCCAAATCGTTTGGCGAGTAGATGGTGCATTGCCGACCGAAAATGTTCGTGAATTCGGTATGACGTAAGTTGATCTCCACCTTTGTCCTGCTTTCTCCGCCTTTGAGCCTAATTTCTGAAGAATGAATTGAATTGCCCCATTCCATTGTAATGAGTATTTAGTGTCCATTTGATGAGAACGAATCGATCAGATCTCTATTTCTACTCTGACAGCACAAAAAACGATTCGGAAATCAGGAGATCTGAACATGATGTAGGTTCCGGTGTCATCCACGCTGAAAAGCTATACGTGCTCTCTCCATTTAAACTCATTAATAACTCGTCTAGTCCTAGATTTCAATCTAATATCTGAAATACGTCATGTTGCATGTAATGTGTAAACCTGTTAAAGGCTTTCATGACCAGTATGTGATACACCAAGAACTAGATTGACTCGAAAATTTTGTGCTTTTAGGGAACGCTTTTCGAAATTATATACTTCCCCGATCAACTATTCCAGTCGAGTATGTATGACATCGTAAACGTGACAATCACTCCGGTGATTGCGTCTTACAAAGGAGAAAGTGGAAGCAAAATTTATCTCATGGGTTACAATGGTGAGCTGTTGTGAATAAGATCAGTTGTTAATTATGGCTGTAAAAAATTTCTTCGCGTGATGAGCTGCTTTCTTTGGTTGGCATTGGCGTCCAAAGCGACTAGCAATAAAAATTACCTACTAAGGTTAGTTTTCTATATGAGATTGCTGAGATTGCTGATGTGCTGCGAGAGAGACCTATATTTCTAAATACGTGTATTTATACATGTATAAGTGTGTTTCCGACAGGAAATTCATATCTCCTGCCCCATTCGATCTAGAGCATTCAAAATAGGAAAGGCGTCAGAATGGAAACACTGATGGTAGGTGATGGAAAGTAATACTATCAATAGGAACTGGTGAGAAGCTCTAGAAGGCAAAACCTTATATGACGTACTTGGTTCTTTGGGCTTTCTAGCTCTGCAGTGTTTTCCTATTATGCTTTGCTTGTGGTCCGTAACTCCTTCACTTTAGTAGTTAGTGAGAGATGTGAAGAGACTGTTGATGAATGGTGACAAGTACAGATAACTGGCGATAAGGACTGGAAAAGAGTCATAGGAGACGAGAGCTACTAGGTGTGTAACACTCTTCCTGTTGACAGTGGTTTCTTGCATTCCAAAATATTATGAAGTTCGACTGTTAACATGGAGAGCGTAGTCCCTTTTCCTTTTGACAGCTCATTGTCAGCCGATATCAGTTGTTATCGGCTGACACCGGATACTTACGATTTCGTCACGTCCCTGGAAGTCCATATAATAGAGCATGAATTGAAACCAGTGGGCTACACGGTGTCAAAAAAACTTGCTTAAATCATCACAATAAACGAAATACGCGAAATCAGTTTATTCACGTTAGTAAGAAATCTTTACAGCAAATGTTGCACTAATCTTTTCATGACGATTATCGGTTTTATATGTAGCAGACTAAGCTCATACAAATGAAAGTCCACTGTTAAGTATTGACAAGCACGACACAAACTGAATTGAATTTTTCAATTGTTCTATAGAAGTTTTTATAAAAGGCACAGCAATCCCATTGAATTTCCTGAGTAGGAATGACCTCAATTCTAATACTAGGGGCAATCGTCTACTTCTCAAGGCAAGAAACTCTTCAAGACACTTTACAGATACTAGTCTCACTTCCTTGTACGCCGCTGTGAATTTGCATATGCATAATAGAATACATGCAACACGACTCCTTTAATCTCTACTTAATATATGCGCAATCATCAACATACCTACAGTAAAGCGTGAAGCCTCTGATCATATCTGTGTACGATAATGCCAATTAAGGCGTCAGCCACTGCTCCATAGGAGATCACCTAGCCTGAGCAAAATAGCTCCACAATTTCTTATGGAGGTTGTCATACAATTGAGGCACTCCTTAGAAGCGCAGTGTGATGTTATATAGCTTCAATACCTTTCCCTTTCGAAATGATGTCACCAAGGTTTGAACAGACTAGGAGTAACTCCTAAGAGTACCAAAACAACTCCCTTGCGGACGCTCATGTAGAAAATTCATACAATAAAAGACATCATGCGAGTAATTGAGGGAAGCTTGAAGACGGGGTCTATTCTTTCGAATATTTCTCGCGGGAATTGTTGAACGAGCTGCCCCAGGCGACTACTTTAGGTACCCAAGCAATTTGGTTTCGCTCATATACATACGTGTTGCGGCGATTTTTTAAAAAAGAACTCTAGTACGTAGGTTGCATTTTATATTTCGGGATTAAAAAACAAAAATGAATGTTAATTATTGAAAATCGCTTTACTGCCTTGAAAAATTTTTCTCATTAAGATATACGCACTTTTGCAAGCGCTCGAACCAATTTTTGAAGCACTTCGCCACTCTGATTGATGTGACTCTAAAACATCCATTCTGAACGCATCAAAGGCTTCTTAAGGTGTCGAAACACGTTGATCTCTCATTTTATTTTTTACGTACGGGAAAAGAAGAAGTCACCCGGGGACTATATCAGCTGATGACTCATGAAATCGTTGTTTTGAGTGCTCAAAAATGCAGTTTTTGAGCCGATGTGTGGGAGCTCGCATTGTTGTGGTGGAGAGTGATCCGTCTTCGGCAGTTGGTTTTCCTGATTTTTTCAAGCCAACTGGCAAAGAAATGGTGGTGTAGCACTCAGGATTGACTGTTCTGCTTGTTCTAGTGGTACGGTTGCGACATGTCCAGTTTTACCAAAAAAGCAGGCGACCCCTTGCTTGGAAGTGTCCGTGCGCTGGCAGCTTTTGTTGGATTTGGCTCATCTTGAAATACCCATGCGGTCGACTGGTGTTTACCTTCGGGCTCATAGGCGTGAGCCTATGATCTATCACCTGTCACGATGTCCTAGACGAGTTTCGAAGCACCGCGATCGTTTTTTTTTTCTGAGCATTTCTTTCCACCAATAGACTCGAGTCTTTTTGAGGGATTGACAAATTTTATGGAATCCAATTTTTTTACAGTCAAATGTTCATGCAATATTGAATGTATGCTGGTCTCTTTAATGCCTAAAGGTGTCGCAATCCCTCGATAGGTCTCATGACGATCCTGCAATATTAGTTTGCGCACAGCATCGGAACAACAACCAATTTTGGAAACCTCCACGAAATTCGCCTTGCAGTGAACTACGACCTCGGTTGAATTCATCATACCGTCGATAAGCACCGATCCTTTATGGAGCTTCATCGCCAAAGGGGGAGGATGAGGTTAAGGGGGAAAGAGAATTGGCTTAAGTGGGGGTGGGAGCGCCAAGGGGCTGAGTAAATTTTTCGTTAGTGTAAACAACACAAGGAGCGCTCATATGTCAAATTCTGAGCAAGTATAACCTCAAACTTACGTGTCAAACTTCACGATAGAGCTGTCAGTTGCCAGATTGCAACACTAGGGTTGCTCAATCCCGAAATATAAAAGGTGACCCTCGTAGAAGGCAACTCCACTGATGGAATGTTGTGTTCAATAAAAGAACCACAAAAAAANAAAAAAACAAGCTGAACTACTCTAGAAGCATATTACTAATGTATCAACATCATGAGGTCTAAGTAGAATGACCTTGCGGATCAGGCTCTCAGGCTACCATAGACTTCTCTTCAAAAGATGAAAGGTAGAGTTAGAGTTAGCTGAACTATTACATAGTAATCGAATTGGTCAGTCATTTTCTAATCTTCTATATCTACAGTAGTGGTAAACTCTAGAAATTTGCTGTAATAGCTAATGTAATGTAAGTGTTTTCATAACATAACACTGTAACACAACACTTTGCTTTTTGCCTCGCTCTGAAGCTCAGTGATTGGTGAGGTGGCATTAAAGCGAAGGGGTTTTTTGAGTATCTGTGGAGGAATACTACGAGTTTTACTGTTTAGAGATTGAAATGTCCCGGATGGTGGTCAAAGTCGATAGTATTGTATCGCTCAGTTGTCTTCAGTATGTAAAGAACGAAAGCGAATGCTTCTGGGAGCTGCTTTCTCGTGAATCTCTTGTGAGTGACATACAAGTAATTCAATTTATGAATATGAGTATTATGGGAAGTGCTCACCGCAAGAGTCGCTTATTAGAGCGTAATATGTATTTATGTATATATGTATGTAATGTGTATATATATACAGTGTGTTTCAAAAGTATGTGCACACCCAACATTTTGTTTTTTTGGGAATACCATTGATTTCTGTAACCTGTGACCTTCACCATTCAATTCCTTGTGTGCGATAACCTAAGTGTGTGCACATACTTTTAAAACAAAGAAAAAATTTTCCTTTAATAAAAAATTATGTTAGAAGCTACGATGTTTTCTCAGGGAAAGTGTTCGTAGGTTATAGCACACAAGGAATTGAATGGTGAAGGTCACAGGTTACAGAAAGCAATGGTATTCCCATGTATGTATGTATGTATGTATGTATGTATGTATGTATGTATGTATGTATGTATGTATGTATGTATGTATGTAAAGCACGAACACTTGGAACAGTGTATCGGAGACCTGATGTTGGGAAGATTAGGTAAGGTGCGGAGACGATAAGGCATCCCCCGTTGCCGAACGAATAGTGGTCGAGTTGTGAAACGATCGGCTTCAGACTGATTTTAACGAATCGATATGGTATGTGAGAGACGGATTGGCTTGAAGCTCCTTTTGCGCTGAACGGAAGGAATATCTCAGAATGATCCAGCTATGTGCATATGTAGTTCGAGAAGTCAACACGTGGTAAATGACAGCTTCGAGGCTGAGAAGAAGGAAACGCGCGGGTAGGGAACGTTTAGGAATAATGAGTAGTTGGGAGTAGTACAGAAGACAAAGGACATCCGTAACCGCGCTCCCCCTTCAGACACGGCTGTCCATCCTTTTTTAACTTACGCCTCGTTGTCTCAGACTCTACACATGTAGAATGAACATGCTGTCAGCGTCATTCAACATCATGATATCCAAAACTAGGTGGGCCAGGCGCGCTATGTAATGTGGCGATGATCATTGGATCACGTCAAACAAGGCATGGAACTATGTTCAGTTTCTCCTTACAAGTAGCCTCACTACGAATTGCTGTCCTGTGATTCCATTTACAGTTCAGTCAAAATTTCTCCATGGGGCAATATCGTCATCATAGAAATTGATCAATAAGTGGTGAGATTTTTAGTCGTCTTAATGAGCTTGAACCTGAATTCATTTTATGGGAAAATTCTAGAAGCGCTTCTTGAACAGCTCCATATGATCAATCAACTCTTTGTCTTTCGAATGTACTGAACTTCGCAGAAAAGGCCCTTCGTCACCTTTCCAATTTCAGCACAAAAAAGTTGATCGACCGAGGCAATTTTTCAATGGCACGGAGATTCCAGAAGTGGATACTCTTAGTTTGGGCATCAATTTTCATGACAGTGCTTTTTTCTATTGCTATGTTAGAAGGAAATTCCCAGGTGAACTGCACCGAAAGACCACATTCGTCGAGGTAATTCCACTTCAAGGTACGTAAATTCAGGCAAATACTGCTGTAAATGATGTTCATGATCTGACAGCTTTTGACCCTTGACCCTAAAATTCCAGAAGGTCAACTCAAGCCGAACTTGAGTGTAAGAGTTGTCGAAGAACGACCACGTCACATTATCATAATGTGGAACTACAGCATACCAGACATAGTCAAAGAAAAGAGGTGAAAGGAATTTTATGAATAAGATTACAAGCCCTTTTCGATCTCTCTCTAACGGTGCCATACCGAAAAAAAACATAAAGGCACCGGTCGCGCGACTGGTCGCGCGACCGGTCGTGGACTATGAAAGATGCCAAATGATAAAGGGTAGGGACTTTTAGCGTTGATCAATCCCGTCTGAGGTTTGCGCCCACGCATTCGACTTCCATTCAGGATCATAGTGGCGTACTGAATGAGCATGTGGTCTGGACAATGTTTCGTGGTGTCCAGCCAATGTAGAAGTCAGTGATTTTTTTCCTCCCAGCCGAGTTTGATGCCAATTTGCTGACCCTGGAGAGGTGGAAGGTTTGGTTGGCCTAGGCGGATATCGATTAGGTATTTGAACCCGTTACCATCCCTGTGTGACAATGCGGCACTTGCCACTATACCATCTCTGCCTCAACAGAAACAGTTACTTCATATAATTGATTACCAGCCCGAAGTCTCTTGATGGTGAGCTTTTTCTGAATGGAGTTGATTTGTGCTTATAATTCAATTGGCGTTTCTGCGAAAATCCACTTGTTTATAATGAGCAACGAGTATTTAGCGATAAGTGCAAAATGAGGTCGTCGAAAGAAATGGATTTCAGAGTTCTTTTGACGGGGCATGTCGAGACGAATGGGCAAAAACACGTGATCTCCATAGATGAGAAATTGGTCAGCATTCTTCTTCCTTTTTCGACTTCATTTCTTCCAATGATATCATTGCTTCCATCCTTTTATCTCGGTCAACCCCCATCGAAGTTGAGTTCACTGAGATTAAAGTGGTTCAATGTGATGAGCGGTTTGGGGGATATAAAAGTTTATTTTATGAAACCTCTGGTTTTGAATTTGTCGAGCTTTTTCACACGGGTTCATTGTGTCCAGTCTATTTGTAAATTTCACCGCCATACAACGATACTTGATTCAATGGGTTAAAGTCCTTTTATGAGGTTCGTTTTATAACCAGATTTTTTATTTTGAAATACTGCTATCTCTGAGCTTCATTTAGACTACTTGTCGTTTTGTGTACTTTTCGAAGCTCTATGCCCTTCACTTTTATTGGTGAGCTTTCGGCATAT